GATGTTGGATTCAAGAGTTATCCTACTGTTTGTTTGTTTGTTTGTTTATTTATTGATTATTATTATAATTTAATTGCTTTCTATTTGTATACAATTGTTGTTTTCTTTTGTCTGTTTTGTTTTGATTTCTTTTGTTCTTGTTTTGTACGCTACTGTGTGGGCCGCATGCTTCTTCGATTAAATTATTTCTATTCCTTCTTTTCTTTCTATTATAAATAATAATAATGATAGAAATGCCAATTATTCAAATTATATATAAAGGAATAATATAAATTAAATTATATAGTCAATTATAGAAATGTTAATTATTATTATTACAATTTAAGTTTAGTCAATTACTTGCACCGTTTTAAACGGGTCACAGTTACGTCATTAAATATAAACTTTATACACAAGGTAATCGTAAAACCAGTGAACTTATCTGTAAACTTAACTCGCTCTATAGGAATTAATGTAGGAAACGATAAGTACCGCTTAGTACACGCACGGGAGAAATGTGAAATAATATGTTAGTCTTAGACCAATAACATGCAGGTATACTCTATCTAAGTGGCAGTGTGGTCCCGCCATAGAATAGGCCTCCCCTTCCTTTCCCGTGGGTGTTGTAAGAGGCGACTAAGGGAGGGCGAGGGATGGGCAGCAGCGTCCCTATTAAAACATCTCTAAAGCTTGTTTGAAGACTGGCATATGATATAAAATCTCTTTCCCTTTAAGCTTCTCCTGCTGGTTACTCTGTTCGAGTCATAGATTACTATTTGCTCTTCTATTGCAGTTGTTTTATTTAATTGTTTTATATAGTAATATTTTATGTATTTATTTATGTATGCATTTATTGTATGTATATATTTATTTATTTAATTATTCTCTATTCAAAAATGCACCGCCTACGTATTTCTCAGTTTGCCCAATGGTTGACTGGTAGAGAACACCGTCCGGTGTTAAGTCCGCCACACGTAAGCACATAGACTTTTACTGTGCATTAAAGTTTAAATAAATAAATAAATATGGCAGTGAAATTACAGGATACAGAGGCATAACATCTTAGATCTCAGGAATGGCAAAGCATAAAGGGTATTATGGTAATAACTACGTGTAATTTGGTTGAGAAAGCTCGACTAATGTAAATGTACTCTAAGGACTAAGGGTCCCGGGTGGTCCCGAAACTAGTCGAGCTTCCTCGACTAAATTAAATACGTAAATTAAACTGGTAGTTATTATATTAAACTATAATGTGTACTTACAAAACTTTTAACATTACACTCTGTTATGTCCATAGTACTGTTCATGTCTATGAATGTACGAATGAATGAATGGTTTATTTTCTCTTCACGAAAGGTAGTATAAAGTGACAACTTGAGGTACAATTAAATATGTAAGACCAATTTTGTGAGAGACTGGTGCTTGCGGTAGGTTTTGAAGGACCTGTGTTACAAGTCACCAGTGCCCCATCTCCATGGACTACACACACACAAGGCAACCAATTAGTGTTATAATACACAGATAACAATAATGAGGTATAAAGTGTAAGAATAAACGTAACATTAAAACTTATAAGAATTATAACTTAGGCAAAATTAATTACAAAGTACAGACTCTGTGTTCGTGCGCGCGTGTGTGCGTGCGTGCGTGCGTGCGTGCGTGCGTGCGTGCGTGCGTGCGTGTGTGTGTGGGGAGGGGGGAAGGTTTGAGAGAGAGAGCATAGGGAGTGAGTGTATGTGATGTCTATAGGTGACGGTTACCACTTTCCATCAGCTGGGGAGTGGCAAGTATGTTCAGTACTGGATCAACAGATGGTTTTTCTGATGATGATGGACAGAGATATTAATATTATGGGAGTGCAGTCTCAACAGATTATAAACTTTGAGGGTTTCTCTTCATATATTAAAAGGCATGAGGAACGTTCGAGACTAATTTTGATAATTAAATTCTGCATAAAAGTTTAGAACTCTTGTGGCTGATGTCGGTCGTCAGAGTGGGTTAATCCTTAAAATAAACTTTTGCGTTAATTATTGTGTTATTCATATACATGGATTTATACGGATGTCAGGAATGGTATTTAGCGTGCTACTTTTTTGCTCTAATTAAGCACTAGGGCAAAAAGTGTCACGGAAAAAAATCCTAGTTCAATATAAACCTCCTGGCAAAAAATTATGTCGAAATTATTGATAAATTGACTAGAATATCATCAAGTGTTATTAATATTCATCTTACCAGAGGAGGATTTTGTACATAAGTCGTTTGCTTGGGTACCTCTGTCCCATTCGTGTTTCAACCGTGAAGCAGTTGTGTTTGCATGGCTGTGTTTCGGTTTGAAGGGTGGGATATGGCGTGAATTTACAGGGTACAGAGGAATAACATTTGAGTCCACAGGAATGGCAACGCATGGGGGGTATCATGGGCGAAACAGTATACTCTGTTATGTCCATGGCCATGACCATAATGCTCATGTCTATATATATATATATATATATATATATATATATATATATATATATATATATATATATATATATATATATATATATATATATATATATAACCTACATATATATTATTAAATATTTACAACAAAATAACAAAAACAAAGGTAATTTACCAAACAGCCGAAATATATGCCACTAAGGGATATTAATATATGTATATTATGTACAGAGTAAATAGCAGTTACAACTTAGTAATGTAATTTAAAGTTAAGAACACAATTACAGACTTTTCAGGACCTAGGTACATATATATGAAAACAAATGACTCTAGTTTTGTAATCGTAAAAGTACATTAACAACACTTGCTGTAACCCGCGGATTTTCTTCTGTTAATAGAGTGTTTGTTTTGAAAATAGTACGTATAAATCTATAATTATAATAAATCTGTAGAGAGGTCAATTCTGTACATGAAATATGTTTCCAAAATAACTATCAGGCGGTGATTAGTGATCGATACTGATGCCAAAAATGTCTGTCTGTATGCTCATTATAGAAACAAAAACTACTCGACGGCTTTTAACGAAACTTGGTACAATTATTCTTCATACTCTTGGGCAGGTTATATTATACTTTTCATCACGCTACGATCAATAGGAGCAGAGCAGTGAAGGGAAATGTTGGGAAAACGAGAGAAGTTACTTAAATTTTAAGCTTCCGTCGCGTGTGCAGCCTTAATGACCATTTTTTTAAATGTAAAAATGCCCACCCATGCGACCCCGGGACGGACCGCTAGTAACAAATATGAGTATTAAATATCAATCTGTATTTACCAGAGGGAGACTTTGTATGAAAGTCGTTTGCTTGGGTACCTCTGTCCCATTCGTGTTTCTATTGTGAAGCAGTTGTGTTTGCATGGCTGTGTTTCGGTTTGAAGGGTGGGATATGGCGTGAATTTGCAGAGTACAGAGGAATAACACCTGAGTCCTCAGGAATGGCAACGCATGGGGGGTATCATGGGCGAAACAGTATACTCTGTTATGTCCATGGTAGATAAATAACTTACGTATGGTGAGTCTTTAGATTGATATATTTTTTTCATTTATGAACCGATTGAAACAAAACAAACGTTAAATATTAAGTGGGGCAAACCGCAACGTACTAGTGAAAACCGTATTCAAATCGGTTAAGCCATTTCTGAGATGAGCTTGCACAAACGTACAGACAAACGGATAAAAATTCTAAAAATTATTGTTTTGGGTTCCTATCGTATTCAAAAAGCCCCCCTTTAATAGTTTTTCTTATTAATCCTCCATGTGCAGACAGCAACCAGTTACGATTTTATTATACGTATTGGTACACTATCGGAACGCGATGTAAAACGTTTGCAGGTAATTAGTACCTACGTACCTGTTTCTTTCTTTGTTGCCGACGTTTTGACGTGGATTGCACCATGGTGTAATCACCATAGCTACTTACATATGATTCTTGTTATGTAATATTAAAAAAGAACATAATAAAACCATCATGGCCACCATAGCTACCCCTACATAATGATAATAATAATAAATAAAAGTTTATTTTTTTATACCACTGAGGTGGCAAACAAGCATACGGCCGCCTGATGGCAAGTAATTACTGTAGCCTATATGTACTCTTTTTTATTTTTATTTTATTTATTTTATATGTACTCTTTATTGTAAAATGGCAGTCATAACCTCAATTTGTTTGCCATTCTAAGTAGTATAAAAAAAAACTTAAGATACTACCAATAGTAAATCTTCAGTTTACATATGTTTTCTTGTTATGTAATATTAAAAAAAGAACATAATAATCCTACATCCGTTTGTAATATCCAATCATAGTTCAATCGTTTTCGAGTGACGTAACAAGAAAAAGATGTCGAACACAACAGTACAAATACAGACGTGGGCGAACTGGCTCGACACCATGTAACAGGTAGGCAACAAAGAAAAACAAAGTTTTCCAATCAGCACGCAGTGCCAATAACACTGTCACTTTCTTTATTCCTCTATCCAAAAGTGGCATGTTTTATTTTTATATTATTACACTAACTATTTAGTATGATTACGTTCAAATATTAGCTGTAGTCGAGGGGGAAGGGGATTGTTAGTAATGGGCTCTGAACCATTGCTTCCACTTGGACATCATAATGGTAACTTCTAGTGGAATCCACCACGATGGGCTAACTGACCTGCTTTCTAACTACTAACAAACTGCCGCCTATCATCCCTCCCTGGTCCCTAGCCAGTGTATATCGATACCGCTGCTGTAGTCCCCACTTTCTCGAGTAAATTTTGATTTATATAAAAAAAATGTATCTCACAGATTAAATCACTTGTACATTAGGTTAATACGTAACTTGATTTTTGAGCTTGGAAATTATCTATCTGCGTACCAAATTTCATTGGAATCTGTTGAGCCGTTAAGTATGAATATGCAATAAATATATTAAGGTACATATTTTTTTTATGTATAACGAGAATAGCTTAAAGACTATGATACGAGAGGGAGTCATTTTCTTATGAGCAGTAGAAGGATTTCAAATGTACCACTCACCGATCTCTTCTGATGGTGATGGTGTTCCAGCTTCATGTTGGCGCAGCGGTTCAGGGCCGTGAGTCGTCTGAAGAGGGACTGCAAAGAGTCTGCATCGAGGAATGGATGGTCGTTCTGTACTCCGGACACGTCTATAGGGAATTGGAGATCTGTAACAAGCAAATTTTTGGTAAGTAGGTAATCTTTATGGCAGTAGCATTCATATTTCTTTTTATTATTATTTTTAATAAGGAATTTTGCGACTGGCTCTTGTCCACAATTAGATTTTTTTTATACAACTTAGAATGGCAAACAAGCTGACGGCCCACCTGATGGAAAGTGGTAACCGTCGCCTATAGACATGAGCAGTACCATGGACATAACAGAGTATACTGTTTCGCCCATGATACCCCCCCATGCGTTGCCATTCCTGAGGACTCAGGTGTTATTCCTCTGTACCCTGTAAATTCACGCCGATGTCGTACAATGACGTGCAACGTCTCCGAAGAGATCTCCGCGCCACATCAGGTGGACCGTCAGCTTGTTTGCTATTCTAAGTTGTATAAAAAAAAGTCTCTTGATCTGACTGCCGTCAATTAAAGTGACATGTCATCACATGCCCGAAATCCATTGTTTTCCAAAACACACCGCAACTTTGCATAAAATATCGCTCATTTATCGAATCAGACAATGAGCAAGCAACATTATCTTAACCCAAACGACAGGAAACGTCACTCAGACATGGGAATAAAGCGGCTGTCGCGCCACACGTGAACGTCAAAGCAGAGCTGAGTCCATTGAACAATATAGGGAGACGTAGGGAACACCATTCATAAGTCTCCAACTTGATGAATGTGACAATTATACATACATTTGATGTTCATATGAATGATTCTATTCGCATGGTGACAGCACTTTCCATAATGTTGAAAATTGGCAGTAATTTGAGTTAGGCGAATTGATTTATTTTATTTCATTCCGCTACCGTTAGTATGCATGCGACTGCCAACATTTCATGACTGATTACTCGACTCCACTACTGTAATTACAAACTACATACATACGAGTACATATCTGTCACGCCTGTCTCCCATTAGGGTAGGCAGAAACAATCGAACGCCAAACGCCGAAGGGGGAGAAGGTATTGTTAGTAATGAGGACTACTAGTCCCATTGCTAGCAACAACGTCCTTCCTGGAAATCATCATGCTGAATTCCAGGTGTATTCATCACGATGGGCTAACTGACCTGCCTTTTCATCCTCACCTATCATCTGTCACTGGTGCCCCGCCAGCGTATACCATTAGCGCAGGTGGGGTTACCATCCGATTGTCATCTATTAAAAAAATGGCATGAATTTACTGGGTACAAAGGAATAACACCTGAGTCCTCAGGAATAGCAACGCATAGGGGGTATCATGGGCGAAACAGTATACTCTGTTATGTCCATGGTACTGCTCATGTCTATAGGCGACGGTTACCACTTTCCATCAGGTGGACCGTCAGCTTGTTTGGCATTCTAAGTTGTATAAAAAATAAATAAAAAAAAAGTGAAGGTTTGAGTAAACTACAATAATAACAACCCTATATTTTAATCTAAATTTAAACTCTTTTCTAACAGTAATAATTAACTGTCATGTAAGTAGGTGGGTAGTGTAAAGTTCTTGCATCCGTAAAACTAGGCCGATTGTCATTTCAATACTGTGTAGTTTCCGGACCGATGCGGGGCCGTCGAGGGGGTGGGGAGGGGTTGCTTTGAACGCAGTGGTGGGAGATTTCCGACGTAGGCATACACTTGTCGACCATCGAACAAGTAGGTCGCGTCAAGATTGTTGAGTTTGGTACTTTTATGTTTATAATTTCTTTCAAAAGTATGCACGTGAGTCAATAATATATGAAATAATTATATATTGCATCTGATCATTAATAAAACGAAACTTTAAATGGAATTGATGTTTTTATCTACTGTTATTCTGTTTGTCAAGGCACTTTAAATAAAGAGAAGGCAGAAGAAAATCTTTCAATTGTATTTTTATGAACCGATTTTGATAGAAATTTTTGTAATATTAAATTAAAACAAAAACAAAATTGCTTATTGCTTACTTCAAATCAATAATCATTATTTTCTAATGTTATTAAGTATAAAGATGTTACAATTAAACCAATTCTTAGGTACATGAATATAATTTTGTGTTACTATGGCACATGCGTGAAAAAGGGAAATTGTTGTTCTATATATTTTGCTTTTTGTTTGTTTTTTTTTGTTGCTTTTTTGTTTTTCATTCTTTTATCTCTTTTACTGTGTATTATGTGTATGTTTGTATTGTAATTTGTATGCTGTAAGTAATGTAAGTAAATCATCTATCTATCTATAAATATAAAATACAAATAACCATAATAAATGTAAATAGATTGACAAATAATAAAAAAAAAATAATACGTAAACGACAAGTAAATTAATAAGCTCTTATTATTTTAACACGTTTTTAAATTAATTTCAAAATAGATTAGCAATTATTTGTCATTTTGCAATTTTTTCAGTTTTCAATTAAAATTATTTCATGGTAGCTCAATTGTAATTTCGTTTAACTGTAATTAATTATTTCATCGTAATTGCTTTTTACACTTACTTAGGGCTATGCATATATTTTACCGTAAACTAGTTGTGTTTACATGGCTATGTTTCTGTTTCAAGAGCGGGATATGGCAGTCAAAGTATAAGGTATAAAGTGATAACACTTTAGGTTAGGGGGGAAGGGATTGTTAGTAATGAGACTCCATTGCTAGCAATAAACCCTATCAGGTCGACCACCACTCGGTTCCCCCTAGAAACCAGCTTAATTCTTATGGAATTAGTCATAAGGTTAGTTTTTCGAAAATATTCAATTTGAGTGATAAGAAACCGTTTTAAAATAATATCTTAATGTCGCTTTGTGTATACAGCAGCTCGGCAATGTACGGGCTTGTTTAAAATTAACCCGTGGCCACCGAATCGTGAACGTTCGGCTCGTCGCTCCCGCCTTTCATCCCGGACCGGCAGCGTGCCGCTTCAGTACATTTAAATGGGATTTTTCGTATATTAGCAACTCACTATTGTTAGGTATTTATAATGGTTCGCTGGTGTTATTATTAGCTAGGCATTAAACTAATGTAGTGGAAGCTCGCTCTGTTTTAATATATCATTATCTATTTTTAAGACAAGGGGTTAACAGAGCTATAAGGCCTCCATCGTGCGTTTTTCAAGGCGCTCTCTTCCACGCACAACCATTATTTGAAATCAACTGCCAGCAGCAGTATTTCCGAACCGATACGACATCATAACCTTCAAGAAAAGAACATATTCAATGCCTCTGTTGCAGGTGATCATGGGCGGCGGTAGTCACTTACCATCAAGTGAGCCGCATGCTCGTTTGTCCTCTGTGTTATAAAAAAAAGTACAACTTTTTATGAATTAAAATATGATTCTTTTTAACTGACTCAAAAAGAAGGAAGTTTTTTATGGAATTGTCTTGTATTTAAGTTTTATTATTACATAATCAGTCGTTAATTGTCCACTATCTTGCTAGTAGTTGCCACGCTTGGCAGGTAGTTTGCCAATCTTTTGTGATGTTTTAAGAGGGACGCTGCTGTTCACCTCTCGCCTTCCCTTAGTCGCCTCTTACGACACCCACGGGAAAGGAAGAGGTGGGCTCACACCATACCATTTAGACGTGCCATGTTAGTGTCAGATTGGCATTGGTATTTAATTATGCATTGCAGGGAGTCAATCGATGCTGGTAGCTCAGGACCGTTCCTTATGGTAGTCTATGAGGGAGGTTTATGTCCACCAATGGATGGGTAATGGCTGAGATGGTGATGATGATTCAATTATGAAAGTTTTTTTTTAAAACCTATTCAGTTTCACTAACAGAACACACTCTAAACCGAATGTTCTTTTTTTTCTTGATGTGTGAAAATGGTATGGTAACCCCGCCTTCGCTAACGGGATACGCTGGCGGAGCACCAGTGAAGGGTGATAGATGAGAATGAAAACAGACCAGTTAGCCCATCATGATGAATTCATCAGGAATTAACCATGATAGTTTCTAGGGGGAACCGCGAGGAGGTCGACCTGGTTGGGTATATTGCTAGCAATGGGATTCTCAGTCTCCATTACTAACAATCCCTTTCCCCCCACCCTAAATCGGATGTTATCAATTCAGATAACACGCTGTATACGCTTTCAGCAATTTCAGACGATCCCGCGGTTTGCTGAAGGAGAATTCTTTATTAAACAAATAAGGAAGTCATGTTTTGCACGCACGGAACTTGGGAACAGTTTGGAGTTTTATTAAATTCTAAATTGGGTACACGCTATGTGGCTCTTGGATATTTTAAGACTTTAATCTGCTACCCCTAATCTTATCAGGGGTAGCAGTGCAAAGTTTTCTCTTTGACGTCAGAAGAAAGTCGAAGACCAAAATAGCTTTGTACTTTGTTGTTTAAATGTATATATATATTATATATATATGTTAAAGATATATAGGTTAATTGTACTAAATTTTTTTTAATGATATCTTATTTACCAGAGGGAGACTTTGTATAATAGTCGATTGCTTGGGTACCTCTGTCCCATTCGTGTTTCTACTGTGAAGCAGTTGTTTGCATGGCTGTGTTTCGGTTTGAAGGGTGGGATATGGCGTGAATTTACTGGGTACAGGGGAATAATACCTGAGTTCTCAGGAATGGCAACGCATGGGGGGTATCATGGACGAAACAGTATACTCTGTTATGTCCATGGTACTGCTCGTGTCTATAGGCGACGGTTACTACTTTCCGTGGGCCGTCAGCTTGTTTGCCATTCTAAGTTGTATAAAAAAATTTTGATATCATTTTCAATCGACGAATCAATTCAGTCATATTTTTTAATGTTTGTTACCTCATAACTCCGTCAGTTATTAACCAATTTAGATTTTTTTTTGTCTGAAAGGATGTATTTTAAGATTAGTTGCGTAGAGGTTTTATCAAAATCGGTTTAGTTTTTAAATCAAAATATATTAACTAATTTTGCTATACAATTGAAAGTGATTATTTTTTAAGGGAACACAATCTCAAATTATGATATTAAAAAACTCTGTATGACCTCGTAGTGAAGTAGTGGATATTGTCTTGAATAAATAAGGTAACGGGTT